CACTAAAGGATAAAAGACCTGCCCCCCCAGAAGACTAATCTAAGCTGCTTGCCCCCGCGCCGCCCCGCCCCCCCCCCCCCCCCCCCCCCCCCCCCCCGGCCTCCCTGCCCCTCAGCCTCCAGACCCAGCCCCCGCTCGCTCTCAAAGGCGCTGGGACCATACGGGAGGCCGCGGTGAGGGCATGGAAGGCCACGAGCACCGGTGCCAGAAGCGCCCGTTGCAGGAGCCCCTGGTCAGGGTGGGCTCTGACTCAGGCGTGTCCCGTGCCTCAGTTTTCCCTGAGTGGGGTGGGGGTCCCTCAGGAGGAGCTGGGGGTCAGGATCCACGCAACCCCTCTACCCTTGGGGCTTTCTAGGGCAAAGGCAAACCGAATGCCTGCCGAAGTCTCCCAGCTGTCTGTCCTCCTCGGGGGGATTCAGAATCCCTCAAGGGCCTCGGGGACCCGCCATCTGTTTGCAATCCCACATGGACCTGTGACCATGTAACACACTGTGCAAGTGGGCGTATTGAGACAGGTGTAAACTGGGACTGTCCTGCACAGTATATGGTCCGTCCCGTGTGTATAGAGTATCACAATTTCACCTGTGCCCTTTAAATTCTAGGAAAAAACGTAATTGCTAAAACAACTACCACAAATACCCTACGGATATAAGTAGGAATGAAATAGCTGGTATTTTAAAGGGATTAGTTCTCTGCTTTCAAAGGGGTAGGGTGGACATGGTTTGAGGGGTGGGACTGGCACATGGCAAGAAAAAGTCCCGAGGCATTTTTTTAAGCTCTTCCCAAAACAGTGACAGTGGAAAGCTTATTATGATCTTATTCTAAAACCGAGTGAGAAAACCCACTGGCTACAATATTCCAACCAAAAGCGATCATCCCCTCCTGGGGTTGGGCTGTCTGGCCCAGCACACGCGCTTGATCGGGGCGAGAGGCTTGTGCGGGACTTCTGGATGGTTCCCACGCAGATGCCGCAGAGGCAGCGGATTCCTTGCTGGAAACGCAAGCCATGTGGTCTGTCTTGTTTGCACAAACACAGCTGGGTAAGGTGCAGCTAAGAAAGAATTCCACTCGGCCTGCACAGGCCCACGCCTGCCGAGCCCCCGCGGAGCGGGTGGTGGCACCGGCCGTGGGCGGGAGAGCCGATGCCGGGCCGGTCGGCCAGTTGGGGTTCTGTGAGAAATCAGACGACATGTGAGCGGGCGTCAAGAATGCGTGCTCTAAATGTTAAGTTTAAAGAAACGGAAGCTGGGAGATTTTGGTCCCAGTGGAGAAAGTAAACCTCAGTCACTAAAGGATAAAAGACCTGCCCCCCCAGAAGAGGAGGGCAGAGGCCCCAAAGCCTTGGCTCCCCCGCAGGGCCCGGCCGGCTGTGCAGGGGGCGGGGGTGGGACGGGGGCAAGGGGCTGGCGGCCGGAAGGCGTCAGCAGAGGACGCGCCCACCACCCGCCCAGGGCTTTCCAAAGCCAACAGAAATGGGCTGTCGTCTGGGCGGCTGTCTGCTCTCCGCTGGGGTCTGACTGGGGTGTGGGCCTCGAAGAATCGAAAGAAACCAAGTCCTGTGCCTCAAGCCTTGTCTGCACACTCCCTGCCCGGCCCTCCCCGCCTCCTTCCAAAGCCCCGGCAACTCGAGACCAGCTTCATGGCTCGGTTCCCACGCCTTGCTCACTGCGCTTGACCCAGGATTCGGATGTGGCTCTTTTGACTCTGAAATTACTCCGGCCTTTCCTTAGACCCTGTCTGAGGAGGAGGCAGGGACCGGGGCCAGGCGGCCACTGGCGTGAAGGCCTTTTCCTTCATGTGAGGCCGCTCACCGACCCGTCCGCGCATCTGAGTTTTAGGGGCAGGAAGTGAGCGCTGCGAGGCTGAAGGGAGGCTGGTCCAGCCCAGTTCGTGAACCTCTCGTCAGAGGCCACGTCTGAGGCGTCTCCTTGTCCGCGGGCCGTGTTGGGATAAATACTACAGCAGAGGCTGTAAAAGGCTTTTTTTGGGGTGAGAGACCCTTGGGGACACCTAGTGAAATATGTAGACTCCCTCCCTGAAGACAACACAACTAAGCCTGCCCCTGGTGGCTCTGGAAGGGGAGCCGGGCGGGGAGAAGGGGGCGGCCAGTGGGCGTTGCCGTGGGTGCGTGACCCCCACCCCATGGTCTGTGTAGGACGTTCCTCTGGGAGGCTCCTTGGTTTTCTTGGCCATGACCTTGCTCAAAGTGAACCTTACAGGTCTCTGGAGTGTGGCTGAGCTCTGGGACCCCCCAGCCCACTGGCCCACCTACTTCAGCAAAACTTGGCGGCTCCCAGAATCCCCTGAGGAAAGGGCCCCTTCCTGACTTCTTTTTAAAGAAGGTGGCAGGCAGCATAGTCATGGGTAGAAAGCTGTGCTAGAGTCTTATTTGCTTAAGGAGTCTAGAAAGATGGGGCTGGGAGGCAAATTAGGGAACCGTAGCCTCGATTGGACTTCATTAGGCATCTTTGGACCCCTGTGGGGCTCTCCCCAAGCTGGAAGCCCAGAACTCTTGTAATGCAGTTTGGGGGTACGTGCGACAGGAACCCAGTTCAAAGTACTGCAAGTAGAAAGGGTATTTGAACAGAAGGATGCTCGCAGAATCCCAGAAGGCCACAAGCTGGACCACCAGGCTGCATGAAAGACAGGCCCGGAGCTGGACTCAGACGAGGGGCCCCAGGGCCAGAATGAAGCCAGAACAACCGAGAGCTCTCCATGGTTTCCCTCCGTCAGGCTTTACTCCCTCAGAGCCCGGAACGAATGGGGAGGCGGCCGTGGCCAAGGCAGGCGCACAGGGACAGCCCCACCGGCTTCTGGAGAAGGCTCTGGGGGAGCGGCTTTGGCCCCCTTGCATCCCTGGGGCTCAGCTCTGGCTTGCTGGCAGAAAGGGACAAGGCGGCCTGACGGCTCGAGCAGTTGGGAACGCGGCTCTGCCAAACAACCCAAACTTGCCGGTTTATTACCTTCATCCCCTTCTCTCCTTGTTCATGTAGACGGATTTTTTTTTCTAGATAGGTCTGACTATAGTGAAGATAGCCTCACACAATTCTTAGCCAGCTTCCCGCGCACTTGCATCCTGCTGCCGATAAGCTCCCGAAGCCGTGAGCTCTTCGGTCAAAGACACATTAATTCTTACATGTTAGTTCACTTCTGTGTTCCTTCAAAATCCGTATTTGCCGATTGTTAGCACTACTGAGTTGGTCTGCAGGAAAGTAAGCTTTGCAATGATGAGAAAGAAAATAATCTGTAAGATACCCAGATCCTTTTTCTCCTTTAACACAGTTTTTGTTTTAAACAATACAGCACAACATTTTTAAAATTTTTTAATTTTTTTTTTCTTTTACTAAGGCACATGACGTATAGAAATACTGAGGTACAAAATACAAATTTCTGCATAAGACTTTTAAAATAATCATTTTGGAAAATGAAGGTGAGCATCATCTTCCAGAATACTCAGCTTTTGGCTTGTTTTTTCTTTTGGACCAGTTCAACCAGCAACTTGTATCTAGCAATACAGTCTTCCTGTAGGAAGAGAAAGAGAGAGGTGAGAGTTATTTCCACGAGTCACTGAGCGTCGTGGGCTGCGCCCGCTGTGGCCCGCCTGCGGCCTGTGCCCCGTGGGGGTGGGGCGGCCTCCGTCCGCCGGCTTGGCGCACACCACCCGCCTCGGCGCACACCCACCCCCCTCCGCGCACACCCACCCGCCTCCGCGCACACCTACCCGCCGCGGCCGGCTGGGTCCGCTGCTCACCGGCAGACGAGGCCGGCCGCACGGGCGCCGCAGAAGGCCGGCCGAAGCCCTGCCCAAGGTGCAGTGCGAATCGCTGGCCTGAGGGGCCCAGGGGCGGTGTGTGAGGCGCACCATTGTTACCATGATTATGACTTTCAACTTGCTAACGATAGTGATCAGTTTTAACATTTCACTGTATCATCAAATGGCCCCATCAGAGGAACCAAAAAACTTGAGGCCAGGCATTCACGATTATCATTCTCGTTTGCGTTTGCCCCTCAAGGGGCTGCTGGGACCTTCCTGTGGTGGCCTCGTTGGCCTCCTAGGACCACGGCAGGGAGTGTGCCAGACTTCCTCCCGCTCATCCCGGCCCCCTCCGCCCCCCCCCACATCCTCTGGCCTGTCGCCCCAGAACTACCAGCTTCAGATCCCAGCTGCCCAGCTCCGCGTTAGTCCTGAATCCTCACCCCAAGGGGTGACAGCTACAGGCAGCTTGGGGTGAGGATTGAGAACTAACGCAGAGCTGGGGTGATGCTGGGGAGGGGCCTATTACTCTCATGTTTGTCACAAGGTACTTTCCAGAATCCATTTGTTTCTGTTCAAAATACACTCACCTCAATGGCACTGGACGCCTTCACTAACGAGGTCTAATGTGAAATGATTTCTGCTCCGTGGCAGATGCTTTGATCAGCCATGAACAGAGCATGGGTGTTCATTCTCTTCCTAGGATTCTAGCTTAGGAGCGGTATGAGACTTTCTTCTCGTAAGTGCCTTTGCTGGCTCCCCAAAGACTACTTGTTTAGGGTCTTCGAAAATCTCAGCCTTGTCTTCTAGCTCTGCTGCCCAGGGGTGCAGCCTAGCGCATGACACCAACGCAGCCCCAACGCTTCCCTGAGGACAGCACGACCCAGGCTCTGGGCAGCAGTGAGCCCGACCTGGCATGTGCCTCAGGCAAAGGCTCCTCCTTCAGGCCCAGAATTCCCAGTGGCTTGCAGGCCACTTACAGGGAGTCACTCCATAGCAGGCGAGCCAGCAGGCTACCTCTCCTGGAACTGGTTCTACTGTCAAGGCTTAAAGGGAAACCCTGCAGGACAATAAAAGTGCTGCTTATTTCTGGCTCAAACAGGAAGGTTTCCAAACTCTGAGGCAATGAGTTTCTGAATGTCCTATGCTTAGGAATCCAGTTCGAGCTCCTTCATTTTAAGCCAATGTCAATTCATCACACATGTAGATGCCTGTGTCCTGACAGATGCTAGAGAAATTCAGGGAAAATAATTACTTCTGGCAAACCAGTTGGAGAGGCTGGGAGAATCCGTGTTTCTCAAATAGATCAACTGCTAATGGTTTATTTTTCTCCCCGGGAATTCTCAACTTCATCATTTTCAAGTAGGTGATAGATAACTAGACCTGTACACACGGGGACATTCATGGCCACGAGCTAGATTTTCCAACATAGAATTTCAATTAAAAAAAAAAAAAAGAATGTAAATGAACATCAGTGTGCCCAGAGGCTACTGAGTGATAACAGGCACAGAAGGCAGAGGAGACTCGTTCTTTTGATTTCTCAGCGTTCCTGGTGCCTCAGACTGAGAGGAGAGCGAAAAGGAAAGAAACCCAGGAGACATGTGTGTTTCGAGAAAGGCCCGAATGGGAAGGATCACACCACGAGTTCCACAACCTCGAACTGACAGACAGTAGGCAAAGACTGGGGTGAGGGGCTGGCTTTCCCCAGGGGCACCCCATCTGCCCACCTGTCTGAGGTTTTGTTTGAGAACTAACTGCAGGTGTATTTAAGCAGATCCTAACAGCTGTAAACAGGGCAAAGAGTTAAGTATAAACAGTCAAGGCTCCAGAGTGTGCCGAATCCTAAATATCGACCTTGCTCAGATCCCGCCTCCGCCCCCCCCCCCCCCCCCCCCCGCAACCTCCAGAGTCTCAGGTGAGCCCGCGGCGGCTGCAGAGTCCGGAGGGACATGCCTGCAGGCCTGACGACCATGACAGCATGCTCACCTACCACACACGCTCTCCGGTGAAGGCCGTTACAGAGGAAGAGGGAAACATTCTCCTGACTCTGGTTACAGGGAGCCTCTGCCGCGAGGTGGGGGGGCCTGCCGGCCTGCAGAGCCACTCCCACTGAGGAGGACGGGGTGCGGCCCAGCCATCCCGGGCTGCTTTCAAACTGCCAGACTGGGGTGAATGCTCCAGAAGGTTGGCAGACTTGTGGTGGTGAAATTTATGTTCTCTACATGGAATTTTCCCCGAGAAAAACCAACCGGTCTATAGAATGGTTACCTTAGCATCTTGACCTCATTGATACAGAACTAATCAAGCCAGGGACAGATTGGGCATGCTGTCAGGAGAACGACACGGGAAGACCCCTGGTGAATGAGATCGCGTGGGCAGCTGGGGACGAAAGGGTAGGAATAAGGTGAAGAATTGGGGGACCTGGCCGCAGCTACTTCAGTGGTACCCTAAAACCAGTACAGAGGCCTCTTTCTTTCCCCGCCTCACCCACCTTACTCTTAGACGGGACACATTTGGCTATTTTGTCCCAGCGGTCAGAGGATCCCTTTGGGTACTGCTGTAATGCTAATTCCAGAAGTTTCTGTTGACTCTGAGTCCATGGCTCCTCGGCAGCACGAGTTCTGTCTTTCTTCTGGCTCTCCTCATCGCTGGATTCCTTTTGTTCTGATATATCAAAGTCCTTCTGCCTCTTTCCTCTGACCTTCTCCTCTGGCTCCACCTTTGCTGTGGCCTCAGGCGGCCTGGCTGGCCTTCGCCTCCGTGGCCGGCTTTCCGGGACCACTGCCTCCGGCTCGTCGTCGTCGCCCTCCGGCTCGTCTTCCTCACCCTCAGCCTGCTTTGCGCCTTCCCTCTGGGTGATGATGTCATCTGGCACGGCCGTGGTGGCCTTGGTGGGCCTGGAATTCTGAGCTGTAGACCTGAGTTCAGAGAGTCTGACCATTCCTGTGAGGAAGGACACCACACAGATGGAAGGGGAAGGTCAGGTCAGGTGACAAGAGTAACAACACTGCCCCCGACACAGCAGACGATGTGGGAAGGCCTTCTGTGTATATTATTTTACTTAGTTTTCACAGTGTTCTAGAAAGATAGGTGTCATTGTCCCAATTCTACAGATGACAAAAATGCGGCTCAGAAAGCAGCAGAGGTGGAATTTGAACCCAGTTCTGCCTGATTCCAAGTTTCTGTCCTTACCAACACTTTGAGGGACAGTGGGTTATAAACAGAGTCAGGTTGTGACCAAAGAATGCAAAGAGCTCTTTGAGAAGGAATAACCTGCCACTTTTTAGGTAAGGAAGGATGTTCTTTACCATCCAGAATTGTTATTAATTCCATTAGCAAAGCTAAAGTGAACCTGTCAAACCTTGTGCTATGCTTGCCATCTGCAGGTGAGCCACCGACTCTGTGGGACCCGCTCTCTCTGTTCAAAGCTGCTCCTGGTGTCGCCGTGCCGCCATGTTGGACAGTAAAGGACAAAAAGACTCTGTCTCCCAGGCATGGGGGCCATTTGGAGAGATACCCCTGAATGTTCAACTACACAACTCTTAATCTGTTCACACTTTTTACCGCCTCCACCCGATTCTCTACCAAGATCCGTATCTGTGCAACAGTCTACACCACACCGCCTTTTCAAGAATACAGTTTTTAGAGGGTGTCTTGGAGGCAGGCTTCTTTCACACAGCTTCTCATTGCCTATTTCAGCCAAATAACCGTGTCAGTGGAAAAGAAATCTGGAAATGCCCTCCTTCCTGAAGCTTGCACAGCCCTGGGGATGACTTTCTGGGTTTGCTCACCTGCATTGCTCTCTTTGGGACCTGTATTTAAATTAAGTTGGAAGGTGTTAGGAAGTATTTTCTTCCTGGTTCCAAGCAAACAGTACAGAGATTCTAGCAAAATTCCAGTTAGTCTGGAGGAAACATATTTTAAGAAACATAGATTTTTTAAGAAACACTGGGAAAGCTGCCTGTCTATTCTGAAAGACTGTGCTGTGTGCATGGTGGTGACAAGGCGGACAGTGTGGGGAAAGTGCACAGTGCATTTGTGGGGTGTGCAGAGTGGCTTTCCCTGTGTGCCCCCTCCACTCGATACTAGCAAGGCTTTTATGGTTTTTTAAACGTATTAACTCCATCTTAGCACCCACTGTGTGTGGGGGGGACTGGACTGTTTTGTTGGTACCTGTGATTTGACCCCTTTTAGGGATATGACCAGTAGAGTTCATTGGCCAAAACTACTAAACCATTGTATTTAAAGTAGTTATTATAAAAAGGGATTTACTTTGAGGAAATCACTTTAGATCAGTGGGATGAAGTGGGTGCTAACTCACCTGGGGAGCAGGTAACTGAATCCTTCAGTTGCTTGGCTTTGGTTGTCACCTGTTCCAAATTATAAAAGCAAAGAAAACCTTACTTTCCACATGTCTCTTGTAGGTCAAGTGACCTATTTCATATAAAGTCCATGTGAATGAAATGGGTTTATGGAATCTTAGGCCTGGAAGGACCCTCAGTCATCCATCTACTCATTTATTTAACCAACAAGGAAATTGAAGCCCAGGAAGATTAAATGGCTAGGTCCAAAATAGCCATGTGATCGGTGGCAGAGTCAGAACAAGAACTTGATCACCTGACAACTTCTAGTTCAACGCCGGTTGCATCACACTAGGCTGCTTTTCAAAATATACGATACAAACAAGTCATGTTTTTTAGTTAGGATTTGCTGATAGAATATCTTTCTTCATCAGAGAATGTTATACCAATGAGTATTATAAACAGTGGAGAGATTTACTCTTAACTAATGTTAGAACATAAACATCTGTCTTTTCTTTGCATTCAAGAAACCGCAAGATAGAAGATTGACAATAGAGGAAGAATCTCTTGGTGGAGTAGGGCAGTTAGACCCAAGACTTATGAGACCTTTACATACATAAGTGTGGATCCACGGAAATAATTTTGTTCAGTGGCAATTATTTCTTTTTTCTCTATACAAATGGTATCACATCATCAGTCTCATTCTATACCTTGCTTTTTTCATTTAACGATGTCTTGGAGATCTACATACGGATTTCCCTTTTTTTTAAAATTGAGATAAAACCTACATACAGTTCAACTCTTAATCTGTTCACACTTTTTACCGCCTCCAACGATTCTCTACCAAGATTTTAAATGTACAATTGTACAGATTTTAAATGTACAATTCAATGAGTTTTAACCAAAAAAAAAAGGACCTGTGTAACCACTCTAATTCTAATCAAATTATAGAACATTCCTATTATCCCAGAAAGTTCTCTTGTGCCCCTAATTTAATCTCTACTCTCCTACTGACAACCACTGTTCTGATTTCTGTTATACATATTTTAAAATACAGGGTCAAAATTAATTCAAAAAAATTAAAAATAGTTAATCGCACAATGAATTTATCAATCAAGCCGTCCTTTCCCTACTTATTTGGAATGGTGACTTTCTGAAATGTTCCACTGTATACATGAACTATTTTTCTATATTTTGTGTTCTGTCCCATTAATGCATGCATATTCTTGAACCAGTGTTTCACTGCTTTAATGAAATTTGAAAGTAAAACCTCAAAAAGCATGATTGTTAAGAACTCAGGTCGACTTGTCTTGGTCCCCCCTCTTATTAGCTGGGTAACCTTGTGCAATTTCTAATCCTTTCTCTGTGTCATGCATTACCCTCTGTAATATGTAGATAATACTAGTAATGCCATTTGCCTATTAAGTTCTAAATTTGAAATAAGCTCTTAGCATGATACCAAGCAGATATTAAAAGGCTCAGTAAATACTACCTATTATAACTGACATGGATCACTTGTTTTTCATTCATACAAAGGACAGAATTAGAGAAAATATTTAAAGCTGCTGCTTAGAAGCACTCTTCAATTTTATTCCCTACCTTCCTCTCTCTTTCCAGATGACCTTGTTTCTTATTTAACGTAAAAAGGAAATTCTCCAACATGAGCCTCCTTGCATTCCAGCTGCCCCAGCTCAGTTGCATTGCCATATATCCTTCCTATCTTTTATCCCAATTCAAAGAAAGAAATTATCTTCCTTCCTCTTGAATTTTCACAGAACTATGCTCCATCTATGAATTTCCTTTGCTTTCATCTTCAGTTTCTCCCTGTCCATCAGATATGTCCCATAATTCTTCACACTGAACTGAAGTGGCCTCCACTCTAAAAGATGATCTTCCCTTAAGTTGTCTTTTCTACTCCACTTGGCTTTCTCTTTCTCCGAATGTTCCTTCACTGCCTACTGTCCCCCCCACCCCAAATATAATGCTCCCCACCACTCTGTCCTTGCCATTGATCTGTTCTATTTTCTCCTTTGGTATCTCATACCACTGTTCGATGTTACTTTAGAAAAGGAATGCTGAACCTGTATCTCTGGCCCTGACCTCCAAGGATGGAACAGCAGTGTCACAGAAATTGACCATATAGCAACAATGGGTCATCAGATCGAAAAGGACTTCATCTATATAACAATAAGCTTTCTTTGTCCCAAGCATTGTTCTAAGATACCTGTCTGTACACATATTCCCCACAGCAGTCATATTAGGTAGGTATACAATTATTATCCCCACTTTACAGAATCCGAGGCCCAGGGGGCATAAATAACATGTCCAAGATTAAAAGGCTAATGAGTAGCTGAGCCCAGGCAAGTTGGATTCTAAAATCTTTGCTCTCAATCACTATAACATACTGCCTTTGGAATCCACATCTCTTATTTTATAGTTGAAGAAAGGGGCCATGTTCTCTTTCTGCGATGCTATGTGGCTCCTCTCTTTAACTGCCACTAAATCTCTTATTTAGAGGTCTCCTAGTTCCTCAAACTAAACTCCTCAACTTCTCTGCTTTTGCTTCCTTTTTGCGATAGTGCCATCATCCCAGTCACCTAGGCTCATAACCTAACAGTCAGGTTTTGGACTTTTCTCTTACTCCCCAGCCAGCTGCCACATGCGCCACAATGTCAACCCCATCTGTTCCCTTCTCTCACAACTTGCCACCTCCTGTGTTAGTTCTTCATTCTCACTTGACTGAACCACTAGAATAGTCTTCTAACTGGACTCCTACTTACTAATAATTTTTATAGAATAACACCCTTAAGGCAGAGTTCTGATCAGATTCCTTTCATGGCTCATCACTGATTGTATAATATTTAGTTCTTGTTTTAAAAAAGATTTTATTTTATTTATTTCAGAGAGAGAGTGAGCACACAAGCAGGGTGGGAGAGGGACAGAGGAAGAGGGAGAAGCAGACTCCCTGCTGAGCAGGGAGCCCGACAGGGGGCTCAATCCCAGGACCCTGGGATCATGACCTGGGCCGAAGGCAGATGCTTAACTGACTGAGCCACCCAGGCACCCCTTAATTCTTAACCTGACATGCAAGGAGATCCACAATTTGATCTATTCTCTTTTTTTGTAGATAGCTTTCCTTTGAGCAGAACTGAATAATTAATGCTTCCCCAGATAGTCAGAAATTCTCTACCCTGTACTTTTGCTCATTGTTAACATTGCCTGAAATGATTTTCCTTTCATCAAACCTCTTCTTAAATATCTGTCTAGACCCAAACCATCCTTCAAGGTACTCTAAAGTCTGGCTTTCTTCTTGACGACTTCCCTGATGTTCACTACCAGGGTGACCAATTCTGGTGACAATCCCTCTTCTCTCTCAATTTCTATTATGTTTTCTAAGATTTAGTCTTTTTATATTATCATACAATAAAATTATCTTTTTCTCTTTTGTCACATAGTTCTATGAATTTTAACTCACTTAGAGATTCAACTACCATCACATATAGGATGTTGAAATAATTCTTTTTTTTATTGCATCTTGTTTTCTTGTTTAACAAAATATTTTGGAGATTATTGCAGAGTAGTACACAAAGATCTCCCTTGTTCTTTTTTTTTTTTTTTAATAGCTTAACTGAGGGGTGCCTGAATGGCTTAGTTGGTTAAGTGTCTGCCTTTGGCTCAGGTCACGATCCCAAAGTCCCGGGATTGAGCCCCATGTTAGAGTCTCCCTGCTCAGTGGGGAGTCTGTTTCTCCCTCTCCCTCTCCTTCTGCACACTCCCTGCCCATGCTCTCTTTCTCATTCACTCTCTCCCAAATAATTAAATAAAATCTTAAAAAAATAGCCTGAAATATAATTCATGTACCATACAATTCACCCATTTAAAATGTCCAGTTTGGTGGTTTTTAGTATATTATGTACAACCATCATCATGGCCAACTTCAGAACATTTTCATCACTCCAGAAAGAAACTTTATACCCTTTAGCTATCATCTTCCCCATCCCACCCCTCACCAAGCAATCACGAATCTACCTTCTGTCTCTATAGATTTTCCTCTTCTGGACTTTCATATGAATGGAATCATATCATATATGGATTTTTGTGGCTGCCTTCTTTCCCTTAGGGTAATGTTTTCCAGGTTCATCCAAGTTGTGGTATATATCAGTACTTCATTCCTTTTTGCTGAATAATATTCCACTGTATGAAAGTACCACATTCTGTTTATCCATTCATCAGTTGATAATCATTTGCGTTGTTTCAATCTTTCGGCTATAATGGATAATTCTGTTATAAACATTTGTGTATAAGTTTTTGTTTGGGCAAAATGTTTTCATTTATCTTGGGTATATACCTAGAAGTAGAACTGTGGAGACATATGGTAACTCTATATTTAACTTTTTGAGGAACTGCCATACTGTTTTCCAATATGGCTGCACCATCTTATATTTACACCAGCAGTGTATGAGGCTTCTGATTTCTCTACATCTTGGCAAACATTTGTTATGGAAAAAAGTTTGTTATCAAACTTTTTGATTCTAGTCATCTTAGTGGGTGTGAAGTAGTATCTTGTGGTTTTGATTTGCATTTCCCTAGAGACTAATGATATTGAGCATTTTTCCATGTGTTTATTGGCCATTTGTAGAACTTCGCTGGAGAAATGTTTATTCAGATCCTTTCTCCATTTTTTTATTTGGGTGATTTCTTCTATCGAGTTGTAAATTTTGGATATAAGCCCTTTATCAGATAAATGATTTGCAAATATTTCCCCCATTCTGTGGGTTGTCTTCACTTTCTTAATGGTGTCCTGTGAAACAGGGAAGTTTTTAAATCTGATGAGGTTCAATTGATCTAATTATAGTTTTAGCTCTTAACATTTAGGGGAATATTGCCATCATGATAATTAATACTTCTGATCCATGAACAGGGGATATTTTTCCATTTATTTTGATCTTCAATTTCTTTCAACAATGTTTTATAGTAGTTTTTAAAGTTTCTACTTTTGTTAAGCTAATTCCTAAGTATTTTGTTCTTTTGGATGCTATTATGAATGAAATTATTTTCTGAATTTAATT